AAAAAAATTAGCTTCAAATTTTTACTCTAATCATGTTCACACAGCACCTAATGAAATGGAAATATATATATATATATATATCTGTATTTGAATGCCTGGTTTCATTCAAACACTGGACAAATAAGTGGATCCCTAAGCTTTAAACTCCCTTAACCCATTCCCGACGGGCATGGCATATATGTACATGCCATGCCCACTGTGAGTTTATTTGTTTGATTGTTTTTACACATAGATGGCTATAATTGTACGAAATCACCAATTACAAGTGCTGCCTTTCTCAACCGTTTACCCTTTCCTTTAATTTACGAAAATATTTATACGTTATCTTATTTTGCTATTACTAATGTTTATAACATTATAGTAATTATAATATTTATAATAAAAATAACAACATCAATATTCATAACACTAGTAAAAAAAAAACATTTTCCTGTCAATTCAAGGAAAGGTGAACTCAGGTAAAGCAGAGCCATCTATGTGTAGAGACATTTCACAAAAATATTAAAAAATGAGCACAGCATTTTCCCCATTTTTTATTCATTTTCCCTGGTGGCAATGGGTTAACCCATTCCCGACAGGCATGCCATGCCATGCCCACTGTGAGATTACATGTTGGATTGTTTTTACACCAGGGGTCTCAAACTCAATTTACCCGGGGGCCGCTGGAAGCAGAGTCTGGGTGAGGGTGGGCCGCATCAGGGTTTCTCTTCTGCCCAGCTGACTGGAGGAATGAATGAGTGAGTGAGCGAGGCACTGGACAGCATGGCCGATATACTACCCTTCAGGGCCTTTTACCCCTCTGTGATACAACAAATTTTATTCATATCAATCTTGCGGGCCGCACTAACATTAGTCTTTAATATCACGATGGGCCGAAAAATTATCGTCCGGTGGCTGCATTTGGCCTGCGGGCTGCGAGTTTTAGACCCCTGTTTTACACATAGATGGCTACACTTGCACTGAATCACCAATGAGCCAGTTACGAGTACTGCCTGTCTCGCCCGTTCACCCTTTTCTTTGATTTACGAAATATTTTATGTTATCTTATTTTGCTGTTACTAATGTAAAAAAACATAAGAATTATATTTATAATAAAAATAACATCAATATTCATAACACTAGTAAAAAAAAAACATTTTCCTGTCAATTCAAGGAAAGGTGAACTCAGGTAAAGCAGAGCCATCTATGTGTAGAGACATTTCACAAAAATATTAAAAAATGAGCACAGCATTTTCCCCATTTTTTATTCATTTTTCCCTGGTGGCAATGGGTTAACCCATTCCCGACAGGCATGCCATGCCATGCCCACTGTGAGATTACATGTTGGATTGTTTTTACACCAGGGGTCTCAAACTCAATTTACCCGGGGGCCGCTGGAAGCAGAGTCTGGGTGAGGGTGGGCCGCATCAGGGTTTCTCTTCTGCCCAGCTGACTGGAGGAATGAATGAGTGAGTGAGCGAGGCACTGGACAGCATGGCCGATATACTACCCTTCAGGGCCTTTTACCCCTCTGTGATACAACAAGTTTTATTCATATCAATCTTGCGGGCCGCACTAACATTAGTCTTTAATATCACGATGGGCCGAAAATTATCGTCCCGGTGGCTGCATTTGGCCTGCGGGCTGCGAGTTTTAGACCCCTGTTTTACACATAGATGGCTACACTTGCACTGAATCACCAATGAGCCAGTTACGAGTACTGCCTGTCTCGCCCGTTCACCCTTTTCTTTGATTTACGAAATATTTTATGTTATCTTATTTTGCTGTTACTAATGTAAAAAAACATAAGAATTATATTTATAATAAAAATAACACCATCGATATTCATGGCACTAGTGAAAAATACGTTTTTCCCGCCATTTTAAATCAGGCACTAACAGAGCCATCTATGGGTAGACATTTCACAAAAAAATATAGAAAATAGGCACAGCATTTTCCTCATTTTTTGTTCATTTCCCCCGGCGGCAATGGGTTAATCTGACCAGATTACTGCATCATCAATGCTGCAAGGAAAAAAAAGAAATTAGGGTGCATAACTGGCAACAAATATGGACATTTTTGGCAGGCTACATAATTTTTCAATCATTGAAACCAATATTCATTAAGACAGGAACTAGGAGAGAAACAAAATATCAAGGAGGAATGAGGATGGCAACAGCATAGGGACAGAGGAGCAGGAAAAAAAAGGCAAGATGAGAAAATTATAAAACTAATTAAAATAAGAAGGACCTACCAGTCAAATTCACAATTTAGTTTCTTCTTAGCAATATGCCGAAGCTCAACAACTTCTGGGG